AATTCAAATACGATATCAGCAAAAACGAGCGTAAAATTCAAAGCCCAACCTAACGAAAGAATTAGCACATGAGAGTATTACTGGAGCAAGTTTAGCAAATAAGGATCAACATATAAAAATTCCAACAATTAACATCAAATACACAAATTATGAAAATTCATACAAGATTCAGTAGTTTATCGAATTTTAATTAAAACTGAACCAATTCCAAATCCAAAAATTCCAATATTTTTACAGTATGCAAGTACACATAAAATAAGAATCTCAGCCAAAAATCAGAATTTTCCAGCAATTAACCAGTTTATCATAATTAAAACATATATCAGCAAAAAACATAAATAATTTAATTACCCTACCAATATCAGTCCTAAGATTCTAAAAATTTTACACAAGGCATATATCAGAAAGAGAGACAACATACTAAAATTTCAGCAAATTTGGAGCATGGACCGATTTATTATGAATTTAATACGTTTCTGCCCAGAAATCACTTTAATTTTTAAAAATAGCCACAATCCGTGAATAATTATAAAATGTTACACAAGCTATAAATACATAGCATTCCGATCAGTGTACATTTTTTAAAAATTCAAACACCAAAACAGCGAACATACGAATTCGATAAATGCACATGACTTGAAACATGTAATTCTCGTCCGAGCCTTCTCTTAAGGCCTAAAACTCGACATGATTCCGATATCCACAGTCTTACACGTTTCGAGGTCCCACTCGATCCCTCAAAGTCGAGGAGGTCCACAAAGCACAACAACTTAATAAATCATTTTAGTTACATAACCTAATAACACGCTCGATTAGTCGCAAAGCAAGCACAACACGTAATTTAAATACATAATGCAACTAATATAAATGATATAACGATATAATGAGACGAGGTTCGACTAGGCCGTTCTCAGGAAAAACTCAAAGAAACGGGACGTAGGACACAAACGGGGCTCGACGGATAACACGCGACGAACGAAATGGCACGACTCGGGACTGTACGAACAGCAGCGGTGAATGGGACCTAATCGTACTCGCGACGGGAAAAACGCAACGACAGAGGTTACAGGCTCGCTGGGAACTTGCTGGCCGAGAGCAGCGATCACGACGGGGCCTGACGCGAAGGAGGTCGCTGGAGTTGCTGCTCGACGTGGGGGAACAGCAGACGGTGGTCAGAGGCGCTGCACGTGGAGAGACTGCAACTCATCGCCGGAGGAAGGGCCTGCTCGCCGTGGGAGATGATCTCCTTGGAGGGAAGGTCACCGGAAAACGAGGCATGATCGATGATGATGGCCGTTGGGAACGGTGACGATGAACGAAGGCGAGGAAGGTGACGGGTGATGATGATTTATGGCGATGAAGGTGATGATTGTAGGTGATGAACGATGGTGACGGGGAGAAAAAGAAAAATTCTTACGAGGACGAGAATGAACAGAAAGTTGCGGCTTCATATAATTCTGCTGACAGTTGGAACATACTATATATATATATACACACATATATATGCAATTTAGGTTAATTATTTATCTTG